TAAACATTAAAAATTTTGTAAAAAAATAATACATTTATTCAAAATTTGAGTTGGGACTAAGAGAGAGAGAAGGGAATCTGTTAGTGCTAATCTTTCAAAACATTATCAATAGATAATGTCTAAATTGGAAACACAGAGTTTAGAAAATGCATACTGTCTCTCACTTATTTCATAACCTCTTAATGCACTTCATAATCCTTTAGTGTGTATTTATAGTCTCTTTTTTGAACCTTAAAGAGATCTTTTATGAAACAATACTTCCTGTGACAAAGTTACATTTATTTGAAGTTTGGTAGTTTTCCCAGTTTTGTTTTAGCTTTTTTCTTCTGTGAAATCAATTAAAATAAGCAATTTTGGTAAAATAGCATTTGTATGATCCTATTTTAATAAAAGTATGTGTATATATTTTTCTACCCATGTCCTTATAGTTGTAAAGAAAGATGCCTGAAATTATATTTGTCCATGTTTTCGCAAGGATAATTTCTGGGTGGGTGGTTTTCAGGTGATTGGTTTGTAAGGGTTCTGGGGGAGGCTGGCCCAAAATGTACCACAATGGCAAACTGATTATTTTGAGTCGAAGCTACTTGGGAAACGGCCAGTGCAAGGAAATTCAGACCCTCCTCGGTCACCCTGAAAGCAGGAAATCTCCCATATGAAAGGTACCCTCCCTGTAAAACACACAGTAAAAACACATCCTGTCACCAGAGAGAGGAACGTTAAAGCCAAGAAAGCTATAGAAACAAACCCTGTTACTTTTTATTAATCTGCTATCTCAGCCCAAATTCCACTTAGAATTCCTTACTAATTGAAGCTCCCAAACATCTGTTCTCTTTATCCTGTCAAATCCTCACAAATGCAGTATCTCTTTGTTTAAAATGTATAGGAACTGCCTGCATTGGTCATTTCTTTGGGTATCAATTTCATTAGTGATGAATTACTGTGCACATATAATAAAACTTAGGGTTTTTTTCCTCCTTTTAATCTGTAATTCTTAAACCAGCTGGAAGAATCTTGGAGGAAAGAAGGAATTTCTTCCTCTCCTACAGTTTTTATTTTTTTATTTGTGCTTTTCTAAATCATCTTAATTATTTGTAAAGAGAAAAATATCATTTTTTGAAAATTGAATGATGTTTTGTCAGGCATACACATGAGCACACACACACACTCATCTATGTACAGAGGAAGCAATTGCCTTCCAAGGTTTGCACTGATTCATTGAAATGGAAGAATTGTGGTGATCAGATCATTGTTTTCTTTGTGTACTTTTCTGCATTTTATTATTATTATTATTTTTATTATTTTATTTTATTTTATTTTAGAGAGAGCATGTGAACAGGGGAGGGGCAGAGGGCGAGGGCATCTCAAACAGGCTCCACACTCAGCACCGAGTCTGCTGGGGGGGCTCAAGGAGGCTCCACACTCAGCACAGAGTCTGATGGGGGGCTCAATCTCATGACTCTGGGATCATGACCTGAGCAGAAATCAAGAGTTGATCGCTCAACCGACTGAGCCACCCAGGTGCCCCACTTTTCTGCATTTTAACAGCATTTAAGCTATGTGATATTAAATACTGTTAAATTATATGGAAAGTGAAGGCTGCTGTCTACTCCCATCCCAGCCCTTCCCCAGCATCTTGTCTATCTTTTCACTTCCGGCATACCTGCAGTTTTTTGGGGGTTCATGCAACGCTCCATGATTTTAGGGAACTTCTCTGTCAGCACACTGAGATCCACCACATTCTTTTTAGTGGCCACAGTATCTTCTATTGTATGGATATACCATTTAACATTTTTGATGGATATCTAGATTGCCCATTTTGCTCTCATAAAATGAGATTATTGTAACATATCTTTGTGTACTTACATGAATAGATCTTTATAATACCCTATGGTGGAATTATTTTAGCATATGTGTTTCACATTTTGGTCAATAGGTAGGTGCTTTGCATTTTGTTTTAACATTTTTGTATCTTTTCCTAAATGATTCTAATCAAATTAACTTCTTAATTTGTCAACGTTCTTTTTTACCTAAGAAATACATATTTACTAATATACTAAATAACAAAATTGTGTACTCCAAAAGGGCTTATCATGAAAAGTAACATTTCCCTGCCCTTCCTCTGAGAGACAAAGTACTTTTTATTTATTTTTTTTTAAATTTTTTTTTCAACATTTATTTATTTTTGGGACAGAGAGAGACCGAGCATGAACGGGGGAGGGGCAGAGAGAGAGGGAGACACAGAATCGGAAACAGGCTCCAGGCTCTGAGCCATCAGCCCAGAGCCCGACGCGGGGCTCGAACTCACGGACCGCGAGATCGTGACCTGGCTGAAGTCGGACGCTTAACCGACTGCGCCACCCAGGTGCCCCTTGAGACAAAGTACTTTTAACTAATTTTAATAATTTCTTATGGTAACTATCTCAATAATTCTTTTTTTTAATTTTTTTAAAGTTTATGTATTATTGAGAAACAGAAAGAGACAGAGCATGAGCATGGGAGGGACAGAGAGAAGGAAGACACAGAATCTGAATCAGACTCTAGGCTCTGAGCTGTCAGCACAGAGCGCGAAGCAGGGCTTGAACTCACAAATGGCGAGATTTTGACCTGAGCCAAAATTGTACGCTTCATCGACTGAGCCACCCAGACACCCCTCAATGATTCTTTTAAAAAATGTTAAAAAGCTTTTCTATTTCTCAATTTATTAGCTTTAAACTTCTTATTATGGCAGATAAGGATTTCATACTCTTAACAACATCCCTTCTATTGTTATATCACTGTTTTTTGTGAAATCAATAAGGTATATATTATCATCATTATGTAAATATTGTCCACTGCCAAATGAAATAGTATAGGACAAGCACAGGGCGTGTCTTGTACAGATTTGTTGAGTCTCTATCGTTCTCTCTCCCTGGTCCCTCCTGATCCTTTTTTGTCTGACCTCAGGTGAGAATTGATCCTTGGTTTGTTTTGATATTGGTTCATGCGACGATCTCATGAATATATTCTCATATCTATTCTTTTTATTTTTCATGATCTTATGAGATATTTATTCAAATATTTGAAATTTTCATTAAAATTTTTCTTTGCATTTGTCTTAAACTAAGATGATATGATGTTTTACCTTACAAACCCTTGCCCTCACCTTGTTCTTCCTCATCCCGTTCTCCCCTTAGCCATCTATAGGCCATTACTTTTATTGGTTTATCATGCATTTATCCTTCCAGATCTTCTTTAAGTAAATGCAAGAAATATATCTTTATTTCCTCTTTACTTACATAAAACATTGTAGTACTATATGCATTTTTCTCTGCGTTACTTTTTTCCCCTTAACATGTGCTGGAGATTTTTCTTGTTTACTTTTTTTTTATTTGAGTACAGCTGACACACGGTGTTACATTAGTTTCAGGTGGACAAAGTAGTGATTCAACTTCCCTATAGGTTATTATGTTCACCACAAGTGTAGCTACACCTGTCACCATGCACCGCTATTATAATATCATTGACTATATTCCCTATGCTGTACCTTTCATCCCTGTGACTTATTCGTTCCTTAACTGGAAGCCTGTGTCTCCTACTCCTCTTCACTCATTTTACCCGTTCCCCTACTCCCCTTTCCTCCCCATCGGTTGTTTTTTTTTTTATGTATTTATAGACCTGATTCTGCTTTTTGTTTGTTTATTCTTGTGTTTTCGATTTTTAGATTCCACATATGTGTGGAAATGATATGGTATTTGTCTTCCTCAATCTGACTTATTTCACTGAGCATAATACCCTATAGGTCCATCCAGGTTGTTGCAAATGCAAGATCTCATCCTTTTTATGGCTGCATTATATTCAATTGTGCGTATATGTGTGTATATACATACACATATCACATCTTCTTTAACCATTCATCTATTGCCTTTTCTCTATCCTTGAATAAGATATAGTTCTCTATACTTATTTGTATTCAATCAAGTTCCCTTTTATCCTCATGGCTCTCCATCTTTCTCCAGTTGAGACTGACTACATTTTAAACAAACAGAATAAATACTCTCTAATGAAATAAAGAAAAAAATTTTTATTTTCAAAGTTTATTCATTTATTTTGAGACAGAATGTGCGTGTGCGCACAAGCGGGGGGGGGGGGGGGGGGGGGGGGGGGGCGGGCGCAGAGAGAGAGAAAGGGAGAGAGAGAAACCTAAGCAGGCTCTGCGCTGACAGCTTGAACCCACGAACCATTAGATCATGACCCAAGGGCTTGAACCCATGAACCATGAGATCATGACCTGAGCTGAAACCAAGAGTCGGATGCCTAACCAACTGAGCCACCCAGATGCCTCTAAAGAAAAAAGTTTTGACAAATTTACAAATGTTCATTTTTAAGCTCTCATAAATAATTAGAACTTTAAGTGTAGCAAAAAAATATTTTACAAAGTAGATAAACATCACATGTTTTCAAGAGATCAGGTATAATCTAACAACAATCTCTTGTATGTAAGCACATTCTACTTTTCAGAGAACACATCTGGAAGAAAACATGTCTAACGATTATTAAGTATCTATTAATTGCTGGGGGTGCCTAGGTGGCTCAGTCGGTTAGGAGTCAGACTCTTGATCTCAGCTCAATTCCTGATCTCAGGATCCTGAGTTTGAGCCCTGCATTAGACTCCATGTTGGGCATGGAGCCTTTAAAAAACAAACAAACAAACAAAAAAAACTATTAATTGCTGCAAAGATAAGGGTATCTTGTTTAATCCCCCAAGAATCTTATACATTATTTGCTTATTTTATAAATGAGGAAATTGCAAGGTTCAATAACTCATCCAAGTTCACACAGTTAGTGGTGAAATTAAAAGTCAAGCTTGGTGGCATATCAACTATACTTCAATTAAAAAAAAAAAAAGTCAAGCTTGGATTTGACTCAAAAGTTCATATTCTTCCCACTGTAGTCTGCTTTCTGGTCTGTCCTCACCAAACCTTACCTGCTATATTGTATTTTTTTCTTTCTCCCTCTCTTAGTTGACGAGTGTTCATCTGACTACACAATTGTGCTTCCTGTGATTGGGGCCATTGTGCTTGGTCTCTGCGCTGTGGGTTTGATTGTCTATGGAATCCGCCTAAGACGTGAATCATCTGGATACCAGAGAATCTAATTGGTTCCCAGAGGAAAAGAAAATAATGGAGTTTAGAGAATTCTTTCATCATTTCCAGAATGTTGGGGACTTCCCTTAGCGTGAGTCCTTCTGACAATATAAACCACTGTCTTTCACAAAAACGAAGTCATTTCTGATTTAAATTCAAGCAACAAATCAATTTCTACGTATTTTTTGTTTATTTTATGAAAGATATAGTGAGCTGCTTGAGTATTTTCCAGTTTCCTTCAAAATATTTTAACCATTCAAATCAACATTTGAGATCTGTTAAATTAATATAATGCATGTAAAGTGGTATATGCTCCCAAATTATAAACTAAAATGTTAATTGTAACTAAATGCTACCTGTGCACATTGGAATTTTATTTTATCCTTCATCTTTCCCAATAAAAAAAAAATGCCTCTTCTTTGTCTATAAAATGGACTTCCAGAACTTTTCTTATCCATGTTTTATATGATATACATGTCTGATGATCTGCTTGCCTCCTTTCCACTTTAATTTTTTTTAATCATCAAAAATCCCACTATATCACAGTTTGTCTAGGTTTGATGTGGCTCCAACAAGAGGAACAAATCAGCTTATACTTTTACTCTTGATGACTCCTCCTGCAGAATCACTAAAGGCTAAGAATTAGGTGGCTACAGACAACAGAATTAAATAATAATCAAGAAACATAATCCTTAATAGTTGAACACATATATGCCAGACACTTGGCTAAGTTTAGATACATTCCATTTAATCCTCCCAACTTATAGATGAGTAAACTCAGACTTGAGGAAATTGATCACCTCAATGTCACCCAGCTAACAAATGGCAGAGCCAAAATTTGACTGCCAGTTGGTCTGGTGCCAACATCTATGGACTTCACTACATCAACTTGGCTACAAGAACAATGACACTGAATTCTGCCTGAAGCCTCACACCAGCAAGTGCTCCTTTTTTCACAGAGAAAAGGAATTTCTCCAGAATCATAAGAGATAAGGGGACATGAAAGGACTTGATGGATAATGAAATAGGAGATCTTTAATAAAGTTCTCTGCCTCCTTGAAGGAGACTAAGGGGCTCTGCAAAACATCAGTTTCTCATTTTTATGGGACTGTGCAGCTGTGGATCTAAAGATAAAGGAATGGAGTAAACATCTCAACTCATTCTTTATTTCTTTGAAAACAGAAATCTAACCTCCAGCCAACTTTTCTTTCTTGAAGGTAGATCCCCCCCTTGTGGTAACTTGCTTCTTCTGCTCTGTTAGAACCACATTTTCTATTCTAGTACACTTTATTCTGTAGAGCAGCCTGCCAAGAATTGTATTCACTGCTTCTTCTTACAACTAAACAAACGAACTAAGTATACTAACAGAAAAGACCACATATCCCTAGAATTCTTTAGGAAAGGAATAATTTGGGTCACCCCAGAGTATATAATGACTTTCCTGATTTGTTCTCTTATGAGTCAGTAGGCTTGGCAAGGTCCTCAGTTTAGTCTTAATGGAATATGAGTTGAATTAGAAGTTTTTGTAATAAAAACTTATTTTGGAGGTTAATTTATGTCTTTCATTTCTGATAACTCAATTTTCATGCTATAAAAACTTTTTACTATGGTAGTGGAGAGTTTTGCTTGAATCAGTAAGTTAAATCATCTTTCTATAATTCGTTTTGTTTTATTCTCTACTACCACTTTATTACCAGGTAGGAAGACCTATTTGAAAGAATCTGAATTTTTGAGAAGTGAACCATATTAAAGTTATAAGTTAAATCTCTCAACTCTTCGACCAGACTAACAGACTGGATTACTGGTTTACTTAAATGCTGCCACGAATTCATCCATCCATTTATTCACTCATTCAACCAACACTGAATAAGGACTTTCTAAATACCATATACTCTGTTGTGGATTGAGATAAATAAGAAGTCCTGTATTAGGTGTATTAGTCCTGTATATCTACTTAACAAGTTAACTCAAAACTTAGCAGCTTAAAACAACAAACATTTATTTTCTCACAGTTTCTGAGGGTCAGAAATCTGACAGCAGCTTTACCTGGGTGGTTCTGGCTCAGGGTCTCTTACCAGGTGGCATTTAAACTGCTGACCAGAGTTACAGTCATCTGAAAGTTCAACTGGGGCTGAAGGATCTGCTTCCAAGTTCACACCATGTGGCATATCTATAGGAATGCTCACATCATGACAGCTGACTTTCCCCAGGTGAGTGATTCAAGAGAGAGACACTGACTACCTATTCCCAAAAGTTACATACCATCACCTGTGCTGTATTCTATTGGTCACACCAACCATCTCTGGTACAATGTGGGAGTAAAGACCAGGAGAGGTGGAAATCAACGGTGACCATCTTGGATGCTGGCTATTCCAGGTCCATTTTCAAGGTTCAATTACTGGTACTTTCTGGGGGGAATTCAGGTAAATAAATTCCAGTATTTACACTAATAATAATGGCTTAATAGGAAACTATACAAAGGGCAATGAGGGCATGGCCCTTTCCAGCCCGCTACCAACTCTATCCCAGGTGTAGCACCTCCCCAGGAGAGAAGCCTCTCAGGCTCTGGTGCTAACAGTGTACGGACCAGCTGCTGCTCAGGCAGATTTGCCTTTTCACAAAGGCTGGTAGTTGGCCCATTGCTCTACAACATTAACTGATAGCTTTGCCTCAGGGATGTGTCAACTCTCCGTCATAATATAATCCAAAGAGATCAGGACCACACAGATATCCCACAGGACATCACACTGAACCATTATTTTGATGACATTATGCTAATTAGACAAGCACAAAGCGATTATTATGTTGGAGGTCTTGGTAAGAAATATGTATTCCAGGAAGCAGGAGACAAACCCTATGAAGATTCAGGGACTGACTAGTTCATTGAAATTTTTAGGGAGCCAGGGGGTCAGGGCCATGCCATATGCCACTTCAAAATAAAATGCAGATGTTTTGCATGTTGCATCCTTTCTACAAAGAAGAAACCATAGGTTCTTAGGTTCTGGAGGCAACATTCCACAGCTAGGAAAAGTCATCGCTCATTTACCAGGTGACATAGAAAGTTATCAGTTTTGAATGGGGCCAGAACAGGAGAGGGCAGTACAGCAACTCTAGGCCATAATGCAATCAGCCCTACTGCTTGAGCTCTACAATCAGGCAGACCTCAGTGTGTTGGAGATATCAGTGGTGAGAAAGGGACAGTATGGAATTTTTGGCAACCTCCAGCGAGAGAATCATAACACAGGTCCTGGGTGTTCTGGAGTAAGGCTGAGGCCATGCCATTTGCTGCAGAGAAATAGATGCCCTTTAAGAGTCAGCTCTTGGCATGTTACTGGGTCCTGGAACACTTGACTTTGGGACACCAACTTACCTTATATCCAGAATAGCCCATTTTGAGCTGTATTCTGTCATATCCACTAAGCAATAAAGTCAGATGGGTCTAGCAGTAATCAGTTGTAAAATGGGTAATATGACAGAGGTCAATAAACTATAGCTCATGGTTTGGACATCTGTTTTTGTAAATAAAGTTTTGTGGAGTATAGCTATCCGGGCCCTTTTGTTTACATGTTGTCTATGGCTGCTTTACAACAGCAGAGTTGAATAGTTGTGATAGAAACTGGTCCACAAAATCTACATGGGGCTGGATCTCACAAACTGGGAGATCATAACCTGAGCCAAAACCAAAAGCTAGAGGCTTAACCACTGAGCCACCCTGGTGCCCCTCATTGTGGTTTTGATTTGTATTTCCCTGATGATTAGAAATGTTGAGCACCTTTTGACATAGGTGTTGGCTATTTGTATGTCTTCTTTGTAAAAGTGGCTATTCCAATCCTTTGATCATTTTTAAGTTGGATTATTTGGGTTTTTTTGCTATTGAGTTGAATGAATTCTTTGTATGTTGTAGGTATTAACCTGTTGGCTTGTAACCCTCCTGGGAGCTTCCCAGGTGTAATCTAAATTTAGCCCCAATACAAGGAGGGCAAGGAGAGACCAAAGGAAGGGGCAGGTCACTCCAAGTTGGTAAGGTGGCAGTTTTAATAAGCAAGGAGAACTTACATATGAAGCTTGTCTTGGGCAGCAGCAAGACAATTGGATCCCCACACCTGCCTGCTAGATCTTAAAAGTTTATAAAGAGGTCCTAATTGGATTCAGTCACATATACCCTCCAGTCGTTTTCAACACCACATCACCATCTCAAGGCTGTGTCCTTGGAGCAGCTCTGGGAGTGGGAAAGGCAAGCAGAACCCACATTCTAAGGATAGGGGAGGGAGTGAGGAGCCTTTGAGCACCTGAGTCCAGCTCAAGGATTAATCGTCAGTCATATCTTTTTTGATGACGTTCCCCAACAAAACCTCTTATCAGATATAGGGTTTGCAATTATGTTTTCCCATTCTTAAGTTGCCTTTTCATTTGACTGTCTCCTTTGCTGTGCTGAAGCTTTTTAGCTTGATGTAGTCCCAACTTGTTTACTTTTGTTTTTGTTGCCTTTGCTTTCGGTGTCATATCGAAAAAAATCATTGCCAAGACCAATGCCAAGGAGCTTTTTCCCTATGTTTTCCTCTAGTGGTATAAGAGAGAGGTCCAGTTTCATTCTTTTGCATGAGGGCATCCAGTTTTCCCAGCACCATTTACTAAGGAGACCATCCTCTCCCCATTACGTGTATCTGGCACTCTTGTCAATGACTAGTTGATCATATACATGCATGGGTTTATTTCTGGGCTTTCTACTTTGTTTCATTGGTCTGCTCATATTCTTTGACAGCTTTCTATTACATTATAGTTCTCTTTTCTTATTTATTTGTGGGAATTATTTATATATTAAGAAAAGTAGCCCTTCATCTGTGATAAGAGTTATAAAATTATTCCCAATTTACTGTTTGTTTTTTCCTAAGTGTGTTTTGCTCTGCATATCTTCAAAAAATTATATAGTTGAATTTATTAATTCGTTTTCTGTTATACTTTGAGTATTGTGTTACACTTAGAAAAAACTTTCCTCTTTTAAAGTCTCCCA